AAGGCGAGTTGCAATTGGAAAGTGAAATGCATCTAGCAAACTGAGGATAAATATTAAGAATACAAAATGATGATAATGACTATGATGATAATGATAATACAACATTTGTTCCATGCAATCATGGTTAATAGAACTAATATTCCAGGTATATATACATAAACAAAATAAACGTATTAACCACCCTAACGGTCATATAGTATATTTTACTTGGGTACATCGTAACGCAAATATACACAACCAGTCACAGATAACCTGCATGCATGGGAAAATGTATTATACCTAAAATTATAATTACAACAAACATTATTATCATTTTTAGTATAATTACAATTGTAGCCAATTTTCTTGGATATATCGTAAGGTATAAACAAGTATAAAAAAGTATTTAAAAAACCCCAATGATAATGATAGTTAACCCCATTGCTTACAATCAAAATATGATATTATTAAAAACAACGATTATTATTATTATTATTATTATTATTATTATTAGTAGTAGTAGTAGTAGTAATAGTAGTAGTAGTAGTAGTAGTAGTAGTATTATTATTGTAGTATATGTTACTTGGATATATTGTTAGGTATACACAAGTATACGAAATCATAATGACAAATAACCCTGCTTGCGTGTAGGGAAAAAGTTATAAAAAAAACAGCACCTATAATAATAATAATTATTACTATTATTATTATTATTACAATTATTATTTTGATCATAATCATTATTATTATCATTGTATATTTTGCTCGTATATATCGTAAGGTATACACAAGTATAAGAAATCATAACCCTGCTTGCATAAAAAATGTTATGTTATTCTACCTCTAATTACAATATCACTTCTTCTTCTTATTAGTATCATTATTATAATTATTATAATAATAATAATTATTATTATTATTATTATTATTATTATTATTATTATTATTATTGTTATTATTATTATTATCATTGTAAATTTACTTGGATATATCGTGAGGAATACACAAGTATACCCAGCCATAATCATAATTGTCGCTGCTTTAATGCATGTAAAATATTATGTTAGTCCAGCTATAATAATAATAATAATAATTCTTATAATTTTCATTATAATTGTTATAACAATAATAATCATAATTTAAAAAAATCTTATTCTTATGATTATTATCATTAGTAGTAGTAGTATTAATAGTGTTACTATTATCATTATAAGCGCTACTATTGTTGGTATTTTTAGTGTAAACAGAGGCGCGTGCCGCCCCCCCCGGGGGGGCTGCCTCCGCGGACCTGTGGCCTTACCAGATGAGGGCCTGTCGGAGTAGCGGGTGCAGTAGACCCAGGCCGGCCACAGCAGCGGCTGGCTCTCCGGGGTGGGGGTCCCGGCCCCGCTCAGCACCACCAGCGAGGAGCCGCCGTCCTCCGCGGCCCCCCCGCCGCCGGCGGCCCTCTCCTCGGCCTTGACGGCCCCGCCGGCCTCGGAGGGGGCCGCCGCCCCCCCGCCGCCGCTCTTCCTGGGGCTGGAGGCGGCGGAGGAGGGGGGGGAGCTGGGGTCGCTGCTGCAGGTGGAGTCCGGGCCCGGAGTCCCGGCCCGGCCCGGCCTGCCGCCCGCCGGGCGCGCGCGCTCCCGCCCGGAGGTCTGCGCCCTCTCGCGCGCGCCGGGCTCCTTCCGGCAGCCGAAGTCCGGCCGCAGGATGTTGTCTATGAAGAAGTTGGTGGTCCTGTGCGGCTGCTGGTCGGCCGGCGGGGGCAGGGAGGCCGGGGGGGGCAGGCTGCCGGCCGGGGAGGGCAGGCTGCCGGCCGGGGGGGGCAGGCTGGCCGGCGGGGGGGGGCAGGCTGCCGGCCGGGGACGGGCTCTCCGGGCCGGCCGCGGCCCGCTGCTCCTCCATCGCCGCCTCTCAACGTGGCTCCGCGCTCAGTTGGCCTCCACTTTGCTCTGTGCTGTGGGATCCAGAGGAGGAGGCTCTAGAACATGGCCGTGCTCGCCGGGAGATGCGGCTGCTGGCTGGGGGAACTCTCAGAGTGTGCGCCCCCCCCGGTGCGTCATGGCCGGGTGAGCCTGGTGCCGCGCGCTGCTCCCTCACACCGAGGGCTTCTCCCCCTATGACAGCCCCGCGTGCGCGCAGTCCTCACATCACAGCTCCGCGAGAGCGCACGCTCACGCCCGCCAACCAGGAGGACCGGTACCGTGTGGAGCGCGGCGGGCCAATCAGTGGCC